GTGAATTAGTTTCTATAGTAGGTGGGAGGAGTGGATATTTTCTGACCTATAATGTGGGTTCCTGAGAAAAAATTATAAATGAGTACAAGTTATGAAAAGACAAGAGTGTAGCAACACCACAACTGTTGGGTATCATGGGAAAAGATGTTCTGCATAAGTAGATTTTCCTGTAGCTAAAGATTCTTTAAGCACCAATGCATTTTATTGAGCATTCTGAGTGGAAACCTTCCAAAGTGTATTACATGCTTCTTTGTCTTCTAAAGGGCACAATACACATAGTCATTTTTATAATGGCTCTTACCACCACTTTCTTTTACAAACGGTTAAGAAGTGCTCATTAGATGCTAGAGTTCAATGGTGAGGGAGACAAATGCCTGTCCTCAAGGAACTCTACTGTTGTATCATATGTCCCATTCTCTCTTGAAGCCAGTCATAGCACAGTGGTGCAAAAAGCGGAAGAGTTATATACCCAAATCTTAAACACAGCAGTTCTTTATGCTTGGCAGTTCCACATATTGGGGCTTTTTGGTTTTTTGGTCTTTTTACATGTCTGTATTTTTAGGCTTTTTTATATAATGATTATATATTATTTGTGTAGTTAAAACTAATGTTTAGAATGTTGCCGGTGATAACAGCTATCAGCCTGCAGCCAACCAGTGAGACTTTGCCGTTGACTTTGCTATTAAGGATCCATTTTGTTAGGCATTTTGTTTTAATAACATATTTCATTGGTTAAAAATGACAACAATAAAAACAGGCTCCAAGGATGTTGGGATAGAAGAATCCATAGTCACTATCTGGACAAATCCTGTCAATTTCTTTTGAGAAGTTTTTTTGCTATACTGACTCAACAATCCTGTCTCAGTGGAGCAGGTTGGGCTGTAGCTTGAATGTGGCCCAAATTGTCTAGGAAACTTTTTCAAAATATGCAAATCTCAGGCTCATGCCCTCTGCTTTCCCAGACCATTCTCTGTCTCACCCTAGAGAGATTCTCTAAACCACAAGTGAACAAATATGTCTCCCTGCCCAGTTGAAGTCTCACTGCTCTGGGAAGTGGTTCAGAAGAAGGCAGGAACAAGTCTCTGCTCTGGGCGAGAGAGCCCAGAAAACCCACAAGTGCACAGTAGCATCTCTGCATCAAGACTTGAACAGATGCAGTCTGATGCACAGAACCACCTTTAAATTTACCTATATAGTGAACAACTAGCATGTTTTTTTTTCCTAGTGTGGCACTTGTTAAATTTTAGTTAAATCTTTTTGTTGAATTGTTTGTTGTTAGAACCTAATGTCTTAAGAGAAATTTAACAGTTCTGCTATTGCTACGGAGAAGTGTGGAATTGATTCACTTGAAAGATAACACAGTACTAATTCATAGAAATGAATTTTCTTTGGAGAAATACAGTTATTAACAACAATAAAGTCTTGCATGGTTGAGTTCTTTATAGAAATCCAAAAGAACTTCACTCAGTATTTTATTTTAGTGTTGGTAGAAACCTCTGACGTCAATCTTGCTTGAATTTTTTCTTTCCCCTTGACAGATGGAAGAACTGCAAGTTAGTGACAAAGCTGGGATTAAGACCCGTGGCTTCTGTTTCTCAGCCTCATCTTTTCTGCTACTCTCTATTTATTCATAACAATTCATAGTCTTTATCGTGCAGATCTTTGGACTGCATCATGCTTTTTAGAATGGCTAACTTATTGTGTTTATTTTTCCTTCAGACTAAAGCAAATCTTGTAACCCCAAGGAATGGAGAACCACTGATTGCTGCTATTCAGGATTTTCTAACAGGTGAGTTTGTGAAATTAACGTGAAAGGAGATTGGAACACGGTGATTCTCATTCACAGTGGTTTCATGTGATTACTTGAAAAGCTATTTAATTGCCTGCGTTTAATTCTATTGTTTGTTTACTAAGTTTAACTGTGAACCTACTTGAGATATTTAGTATAGGTTGATTGAATTGAATCATGGAATCAACAAGTCTATTAAGCTTCTACCATAGACTAGACATTTTTCTAATCACCAGGACTACAGCTGTGAGTAAAAGTCCCCTTGTGGAGCTTGGATTCTAGTTAAAGGACAGAGCCAATAAGCAGCTGTATGTTTTAAGTCACTTTTTTAGTAATAGTACAAATTTATCTTAAAATCGAAACATGATTTCCTCACAGTTTCATTCCTTTTGCGTGTGTGTCATTTCTTAACATTCTTAGGTGCCTATCTTCTCACTCTTAAGGATACTTTCTTTGACCGAGCCAAGGCTTGCCAAATCATTGCTTCAATATTGGTTGGCAAGGATGAGAAAATTAAAGTTCGCCTCCCACCCCCTACAATATTAAAGGTTTGTACAAGAGGTGTGTGTGTATCTGCGTGCATGTACCTGTGCTGCTACTGGGTTTGAGTATGATTGCTGTACAGTCTTACTTTATTTGCATGATGGGTGTTTGAGGCCAGGCTCGGCCAGCTGATGCTCTGACTTTCTTTCCTCCTTCAGCCTGTCACCCTGTGGACAGGAAAGCAGATCTTCAGTGTCATCCTCAGACCTAGTGATGACAATCCAGTGAGGGCCAACCTCCGAACCAAGGGCAAGCAGTACTGTGGCAAAGGAGAAGATCTCTGTATCAATGATTCCTGTGAGTTAAAGCAATGGGATGGGGGAGAGGGGACAGAAAAACAAATGACCAATAACTTACCTTCACCTAAGGAGCAAATTCAGTTTCTCTAAGACCTTAGCCTAAAGCAGGAAGTTTGTTCTTCAGGGAAATGTAGCTAATGTTTCTCCTCTCAGATATGATTCTCCAGTTCTCTAAAAGGTAGAGATCCTGTAGAAATGTGATCCAGTGATTAGAATATTCTTCTCTAAATGTGTTTTGTCTTAAGTGACTGGTTACTGTCATTTAATTCAATTTCCTTTATTCTGCCATTGATAAGGGTATCATTTAAGGTATATAATTTATTATTTCATATCCAAAAAATGTGTTCATTGACCAAAAGTATGACTAAAAAGTTTTAAAAGATGAACTTTTTTCACCTGCCTCACCTGGTCATTGGATTTTATGATAACATGAAGATCAAGTGTAACGGTGAGAGTATTTAAATGCAAGCCATCTTAGTCATCTAGACTAATTCAACCCAAAATATGGTCCATAGACCAATGCCATTCAGCCAGCATTTACTTTCTGGTACAGGCTCCTTAGTTCATCCCAGACCGCTAAGAAGCAGATCCCCAAGAGGCTACTTTGAGTAGCACTTTTAGAATGGGCTTTGCTAGCAAGGCTTTGTCACAAGAAATGGATCTCCAGGACTCGGCACTGAAGAACTGAACTGCAGAGTCTCTCTGAAGGTCAAAGTTCCTACTGTCTTGTAATGAAGAGTAAATATTTTGAAGAGCACTGATTTTTCTCAGGTTTATAACCATTCCTTTGAAAACAAACACTCTTATCTTTTAGATGTTTTGGCTTCTTATTTTAGACTGTATTTTGTTTTTTTCTGGATTTGAATTTCATTTTGTTATTGTATAGGCTATTCATGGTGGTGCCACTCTTAGTTTTTAGTACCTTAGTTGAATAACAGAGTGCTCTACACTTTGTTTACAAAGTGCTTTGCTGTGCATAATTTTATTGATGCCCAAAATGTCCCCACAATGTCAAGATGACAGGTGCTCAGTATTGTCAACTACAGTTCACAGATTAAGAGAATAAGGGTCAACTACTACATTTCAGAATTAGGACTAAAAGGTAACTAACTGAGCCTTTCGTGCTTTTTTAAAGTCCCCTAGATTTCTTTTCTCAAAAAAAAAATTTTTTTAAGGAAAATATCTATTTGGTCTGCTTTAACTTTCAACATGGAAACAGATTTTTTTCAACTAAACCTTGTTTTGGAATGAAGCAGTGTAATAAATAATTATTTGTTTAACAGCATAATCATTGTTATCCTTCCAGACGTTACTATCCAGAATAGCGAGTTGATGAGTGGCAGCATGGACAAAGGAACGCTGGGATCAGGATCCAAGAACAATATTTTTTACATTTTGCTGCGAGACTGGGGGCAGAATGAAGCTGCCGATGCCATGTCACGGCTTGCCAGGCTGGCTCCTGTCTATCTCTGTGAGTATCTCAGCATCTTTATTTTATTGTAGTAGTCGTTGGGATTTAAGGAGTTTTTTCTACTGTTTCTTCTACTCTTGTTTTATCCACCCTGAACACTTACACAGAAAAAGGGTTACTTATTCAAGCTAAATCATATATGCTTTTCTTAATGAAATTAATTCAATACTAACTAGTTTGACTGAAGGTTTGAATTTGCTTTTCAGTTCTCTTCTCAAAATTTATAGTAGCTCCCTGTTGTCTGCCAGGCAGGATTGTGTTATATAAAGGGCCCTTTGTGGGCTGCTTCCAAGGTACCTGTGCACTCACTGGCGCCCTCTGGACCTTCGATGATTCAGTCCTACAAGGTTATTTAATATTTTCCTGCCTTCCTTGAACTGTCTTATTTCCTTTGTTTGCTCATGCTTTGAGCAAGCTCTGAGTGGAGAGTCTTCTGCATGCCTGGAAATATCTTTAGTCTACTCTTATACTTGATTGATTCTTTGGCTGGCTATAGAATTCTAGATTGAAAATTATTTTCCCTCGGAATTTTGAAAGTATTGCTCTACTCTATAATAGCTTTCAGGGTTTTTGTTAACATGTATTTCTGTTCTTATTCCCAAGTTTTTGTATTTGAATTGTTTTTATTCTGAAAGCTTTGAGAATCTTTTCTTTGTTTTTGGTGTTCTGAAAGTCCACAATGGTACATCCTTGGTATGGGTCTTTTATCATTCATTGTGCTAAGCGCTCTGTAAACGATTGTAATATGCAACTATGTGTTCTTAATTTCTAGAAATTTTCTTATATTATTTTTCTGATAATTTTCTTTCTGATAATTTTGTTCTTTCTTTTTAGAATTTCTGTTAATTACCTACTAAGATTCTCTGATTTTATCTTCTTGTCCTTGTTGTCCATTTCTTTGTTTTTGGATTCACTTTCTTTAAACACTTCTCTATTGATTTTAAAATATTTTTTACTATCACATATTTAATTTCCAATTACTATGCCTATTCTTGGATAATTCTTTTTTAAGGCTTCCTGTTTTTTTATCCTGATACATCTTCCTTATCACTCTGAGAGAATATAACTCAGTTTTATGTTATTGACACCCTGAATTTTTTCTTACCTTCTAGTTTTTTTTTTTTTTTTCCTATGCCTCAATCTTTCATGGTAAAGACTTTCCTTAAATATTTGGTCGTCATTGGCTATCATTCATATTTTATGAGTGAGGCACTAAAACGCTAATTAGAAATGGAGCTCATTGGCTGATGGACCTCTCAGTTCCTTGATTGAGCTGGAAGCTAGCTTTCTGATTGAGTAATTACCCAATATCCCTATCAGTAACATTTTTCTCTAGGGAGGCTTTGTTTCTCCAGAGGTATCTTCCAATCTCAGTCTCCTTTCCAAGGATAGAGACCTGGCTGCCAGGATTCTGGGAGCTGGACAGAGAAGGGAGCTTAGGGATTTTAGACATAGAATTTGAAAAGTCCCTCAGTGCCTGATTTTCAGTCATCCCCATCTTTCTGCACCTAGTATCCCCCAATCCAAAGCTTCTCTACTTCTATTTCTTGGGTGGTAAACTCTCATCTCCCACAGAGTTAAGCACCTATGGTACATTTCTCATACAGACTTTACACTATGGTTCCCTGTTTTCAGCATATACATCATTCCCAGCATCTGCAGAACTTGGTGATCTAGTTTCTGAGCCCTTCCAGGCTCATCGGTCCTCATTGTCATAACCACTTTTAGGGTATCTCCTTTCCCACTCTACTAAGCCACTCACTTCTTATGTGCCCACTTTCTACCTCTGTTAGGATTATTGATGACGTGTAGTTCTATCAAGGTGGAATTTATGTTCGTTTCTTATTCTCTGTGTTTTGGAATGATTTATGAAAAGAAAAACAGGGGTTTTCGGGTGTGAGCATAAAGGTTCCTGTGATGCTGTCTTAGAAACAGACAGAAGTCAGATGGCTTCCTTTCTATAGCTGGCGTTCTCAGGCTGCTCTTGTGTTTAATGACAGTCTGCTTGATATTATTGTTAGTTGGGATATCACCATGCTACCCCTAGATCATAAGATATGAGAAGAATTAGAGAGTCTTAGTAGTGTTTGTATAACTCCCTAGGGACTAATATAGTAATTTTTTATTTAATTGAATTATAACAAATTCTCTGAAGGTGTAAACTTGTTTCCACGTAGTGGGTTGACTAACATCCATGGCTGTCTTCCTATTCTACCTGCCAACTATTCTACAGCTAACCGTGGATTCTCAATTGGGATTGGTGATGTCACACCTGGCCAAGGATTGCTAAAGGCCAAGTATGAGTTGCTGAATGCTGGCTACAAAAAATGTGATGAGTACATTGAAGCCCTAAACACAGGCAAACTGCAGCAGCAGCCTGGTTGCACTGCTGAGGAGACTCTGGAGGTGAGTCTGGCTCTTTGGGTCATTTCAGCCACTTCATGCTCATAGGGTTGTGCTGTAAACCATGAAGGGAAAATAACAGAGGGGCGTGGGAAGAAAAGGCAGTGGTTTTAGCCTCTTGTTGGCCCTGTGCTGCTTGTGTATGTTCTCATTTGTTTAATGAGGGGAGGAGGGCCTTCAATCAGGTCCTTTATATCTTCCAGCTTTCCCATTCTAGGTGAATGTGAACAGCCCTATCTGTTCATTTGACCACATGGGGCTGCTCTTGTTCCAACATCACCTTGGGTCCCTTCTGTAAATGGTACTTGAGTGCTTCTGCCCTTTCTATTTCCAGCATCCTTTGACTAGAGACTGGCACCACAGCTTTTTGGATACAGAAGAGGGAAAATTCATGTGTGAGAGTCATATACCAGCCTGCCTCCTCATGTTTGAAACTAGGTTAGCTGAGAACTGGACCAGCACATGTCAGAATTAGAATCATCATCAGCCTCTGAGAGCCCTACATTTTCTCTAAAGCAGCCCAGGTCAGCAGACTGACTGCACCAGGGTTTTGCCTGGCTCTCTTCTGCCTCCTCAGTAGCTCAGAGCTTTCACTTACCTAAGTATGGAAGAAAGGCTCTTTAAGCAGTAAGAAATTTTCTGATGAATTGAATTTTTTAAAGCAGATTTGTGTGAGGTTGTCACCATTAGCTCACTCTTAATCTCACTTAAATCTTAAAGAGAGATGGGGAAAGAGACCTTGAGACCTCAGCAGCACTCGTTTTTAATGGAACCATGCCTTGTAAGTGATTCAGCATCCTAAGTTGCAGGTTGAGGAATAACAATCTGGATAAGCTCATGGACTGGAATATTCCTGTAGAATCACCTCATCACACGCTTAATTTGTGGGAATTCAAATGTGCGCTTGGCAAGAAAAAAACAGACAAATTTTTATAAATAGTACAAGTATTATTTTGCACTTTATACTTTATTTAGGTGTGAGTGTATATACACAGTAGTATAGATGCAGATATATTGTTGTATAGGTTCCTATACAATAAGGCATGTGCATTCTACTTCATTGCCGTCTAAAGGATTTTTCAGGGTTATTTTACTAATCATTTTTACCTTACACACTGACTTTGGAACCTTGTGGAAGATGTCAGTCTATATACATAGGGCATCCTATCCTGGTTTTCTAAGGCTCAGAAACCTCTTTTTTGGAAATCTGACATCTTTGCATAATTTTTTTCAAATTTTTTTAAATGTCAGATTGGACATTTGTGATCAGCAGAGCCAGTGAAGATGATTCCATCACACACTTTGCTTTCTCCCACCAGGCTTTGATCCTGAAGGAGCTGTCTGTGATCCGTGATCACGCTGGCAGTGCCTGCCTCCGGGAGCTGGACAAGAGCAATAGCCCCCTCACCATGGCTCTGTGTGGCTCCAAAGGTGAGTGTGTCCTCTCTGGCCACTGCTGTCATTGTATTCTCTGTGTGGCTACTGGTTCTGTTCCAGAAAATGTAAGAGTCATAAATTCAAGAAGACCTTTAATTTATAAGGGCATATCTTTTAAAATCGTATAAAGTAGACCCTAGAACAACACGGGTTTGAATCACATGGGTCCGCTTAAATGCAGATTTTTTTTTTTTTTAAATCAACCATATTTTCGATCTGTGGTTGGTAATCCACATATACAGAAGGCTGACTTAAGTTAGACATGGATTTTTTGAATCTGTGAGCCGCTGGTGTCCCTCACCCCACATTGTTCAAGAGTCAACTGCATATAGAAAGAGAATTATTTGCATTTGGGGGAGTTTAACTCTGGAAAAATTTGTTGGTAATGTGTGTGCATTTCTGAGTTTGAGGGTGCTTTGAGCTCACGCTTTAAAACAACTTCAAAAAATACCTAAGGATCTTTAAAATAATATATTTACTGATTTCTTTAACTTTGCCGCCTTACCCACCCCACCCCACCCCCACGTATTCTCCTATTTCCTGCTCCTGGTATACCCCACACCATTACCATTACCATTACCATTCCTGTGTGGAATTCCTCCCCCTGCCCCTTATGTCTAAATCATAATATCTTCCAAAATTCCAGTCTGGTTGCTGCTGTCTTCTTGAAGACTCACCTGGAAGTCTTTCCTCTGACCCTGAAGTGCTCATTTGCTCCTGGGCACCTCTAGCCCTCACTCCACCTTTTTTCTGTTACCAACAGCTCTGCCTTGTATTGTTGCAGTTCCATCTTTTACTATCCCCACACTATGAACTTATTAAGGATAAGGGGCTGTGCTATGTTGTGTTCCTGTTTTATCCTGCAGGTTTGCTTGCACTTCAGCTAATGTCATTTCAGTAAATGACTGTTAATATTCCTGACCTGCTTCCCCAGGTTCCTTCATTAACATATCACAGATGATTGCCTGTGTGGGACAGCAAGCCATCAGTGGCTCCCGAGTGCCAGATGGCTTTGAAAACAGGTCCTTGCCTCACTTTGAAAAACACTCAAAGGTAAGCAGTAGTGGATGAGGCAGAACTTTGAAGGATGTCTAGCAACAGTGCAAAAGAAAGTAACTGAAGCTCTGTGGTGGCCAACCAAGGGTCTCCTGGAGGCGGATTATAAGGGCAAGCACTGCTCAGAGTTGCTATTCTCTCTTCAACCCAAACTCAGTCGTGTAGAAGGAGGCTTGTTAAACTCAGACCTATAAAACTTGGACCAGTGCCCTCTTACATACTTTCTCTCCAAGGAGGATTACAGATTTCCCTCAAATTACCTTCAATAATTAAGACCTATAGTTACCTTATATATATGTTCAATCTGTATGCTTGTTTGGGGGCATTTTCAAAAAAGTATAAGGGTTTTAAAATAGTGATAGTATGAACCACACTGAAATGACCAGAAAATTTCAGGTTCTTCTCTCTAGAATTCTCAAACTCAACTTTTAAATGCCTTCTGAGTTCCATTATACTTGTGATTTGGGCGCTAGTGTAAGCAGAAAGGGTGGGAGACAAACCTGTGCTTGGGTTGTTCTGGGACTCAGAGTCAGGCAACTATTAAATCTGTAGTCAAGGAACTTAGAGTAGATTTGGTCATCCAGTAAATTCCACGTTTGGAGTCTCATTAAAGCACTGAGCCTCAGCTGCTCATGACCTGTGGAACTGCAGGATTTTTGTCCAGACCCTCCTGGGGAGATAGGACTGCAGTACTGAGAGTATATGGACAGCCTCTGCATCAGGTAGCCCCAGGATCAATTCAGGTCCTCTGCATGACATCAGAATTTGCTAAAGGACAGGCAGATAAGTGGTCATTGGATTGGTACCTGCCTGTACTTGTCAGGCTCAAAGTTCAAAGGCAGCCTGACCAATTTAGAGGACAGGCCGGAGGCATCCAGATTTCTCAATCCATGAACCAGCTGCCCCTTAAACAAAATAGAAGAAGCAAAAGGTTGGCCTATGCATCTAGATTGTCCTCTAAGGAACATAGACCTATCCAGATCAAAGGCCATTTGGCCATTTCACATGATGTTTTATATATGTATGTATTTTTTTACAATGTTATTGAAATCCATTTTATTTATCATAATCATTTAAAGTGTACAGTTCCAGTGACCTAGTATAGATCACAGAGTTGTGTGATCATTGCCATAATCTACTTTTAGAACATTTTCAGTGCCCCAAAATGAGCTCTCATAAACATTAGCAACACCTGGTTATGTTTTGGAGGTGGGCAGGCCCAGCCCATGGGGAGAATGTCTTTAAGGGAGTCATTTCCCAGGGAACAGGCACGATAGTGCGGTCAGTGGGAGCTCTCTGAGGTCCTTGATTGCTTGCCTGCTCGATGGGTAGCAGCCCAGGCTTTGGTTTCCCTCTCCTGAGCTACTTGCCCACCACTGGCACCAGTACCACCCCTGGCTGGGACCTCACCTTCCTTGACTTTGGTGAGGATGGGTTGTGCCAAATTGTTTCTCCTTTAGGAAAGGGTGATAAAGCCTGCCACTTCATGCACGTGTATTGGCCAGGTATACTTATAGCCTAAAAATGGGTCATTTTCTGATTTGAATGGGTTTTGGAATTGTGGACCTTGGCTCTTTTTTTTGTTTGTTTGATTTTTCTCTTTTTTTTCCCCCTACCCCTTTAGCTCCCAGCTGCCAAAGGCTTTGTGGCTAATAGCTTTTATTCTGGTTTGACACCAACCGAGTTTTTCTTTCACACAATGGCTGGCCGGGAAGGTCTGGTCGACACAGCCGTAAAGACAGCTGAAACAGGATACATGCAGGTAACTTGAAGCAATGCAGGCCGTTAGCAACAGAGTGAGACGGGGCTCTGTGGGTTTTGACTGTTGAGTGTTTACACATTTTGTACATGAACTATAATGTATCTGGTCTTGGTATTTAAATAGAAAAATCAAGAAACATAGGTGCTCTGGAAATAAATAACAAAAAAGGTAATGTTAATGTTCCAAATCATGCTGTGTACCTCAAGTTTTCAAGACTGGGCCAAAACCACACATACCGAGGCTCCACTAGAGGAGAACATGGACTGGAGGTGCATCCTGGGACTTGCTGTGGAACCTCACTGAGCCTCTGTTTCCAGTACATGAAAATGGGAGTGACAGTATAGACCTCCTGATTATTGAGAGGACTCTGCTTCTCACTTTAAACTATTTATGTAACTCATTAGTGTCATTCCAATTGATTCTATGAACCTATTCCAGTGCCCACAGGAAGGCATGAAAGGATGACTCTTTCTCCACTGTTTGTACAGTTCTAAGATAATAGGTTCAAGTGGACAGGGCTAAACTAGAGGTTTTCCTATGCCTGTCAAAGATACTTCTAATGGGAGAGGAGTAGAAATACATTCCTACTTTTTTCTCCCATAAGACCACAAGCATAGGACTTTTTTTTTCTGCGGTCTAATTTTTACTTCTACCCTGTGTGGTCTATAATCTATGTTGTTGTTTTTTTAATATCATTGTTTTTGTCTACTTCCAACACCAGATGAAGTTAACACTCTAAGTTGCTGGACCATAAACTTGCATGGCTTTGTGTCCCTTTTCTCCCCACTGTGTTCCCAGTTTGAGAAGCATAGTCTTTTGCATTCTGGGAAACCAGCATTGAAAATCCAGAGATATGAATGAGTGAGCCAGAATAAACAAGGTTGACGAGGGTGAAAATGGACTTTGGTCAGTAGACACCTATTTTCATAACCTCTTTTGTGCCTCGTATGTTATTACTGATACTTCCTTTTTAATCATCTTTTGATGGGAAATTGCCCTTCAGTTTTGGAGTGTGCTGCTGTTGTCAGAAACCCAACAGACTGAAATGCTTTTACCACTTTTGCCAGGATGTCTTTTGACTCTGCTTTTTGTCTTTACCTTTTTGGAGTAGAGAGTATGACTTTCCCAGAGCAATGTGTTACCCTAGAACAAATTGGTTCTGGCATGAGGGATTTTTGTTTTGAAGTTGCCTAGAGGAAAATTTCTTTCTCTTTAATTCACTGAGCCACCATCACATTGCTGGCTAGAGTGTGTTCTGCTGGTGGAAGGTTTTCCCTAAGCAGGTTTGAGAAATGGCTGCTGCCTGCTGATTCAAACACAATGCTCTCCCTGTTCTCTCTTCTTTCCTCTGTGTCCCAAAAGAGGGTCTGCACCTGATCCTCTGTAATTCATTTTGAAGTCCACAGGGGTCCTAGATTAAGTTGTGTTTAGAAATACAAAGCTATTGCATTAATTTATACCTTAGGGAACAAGAGGGAAGGCCAAGCAGACTAGAAAAACAGTGTTTGCATAGTCCTTTGAGGGTGATGGAGTTTAAATTGCATGTATTCTAAAATACACTTAAGGGCTGGAGGTTGGAACATATTCTAAATCCCCCTAGACAGGCTAGTGAGGCGCTCTTGGGGTCAGGGGAATCTTTTTAAGGGATTTCTAATGTTTTTATGTGATTAAAGTGTTAGTAACCTTGAAACTTAGAGTTGCAAATCTCATCCTCTGTACATGTGACTAGTCTCCTCAAAGCATCTGAGCTTTGTTTTTTCTCTTTTTTCCCTCTAGAGAAGGCTCGTAAAGTCCCTTGAAGATCTTTGCTCACAATATGATTTAACAGTTCGAAGCTCTACGGGTGATATTATCCAGTTCATTTATGGAGGAGATGGCTTAGATCCTGCAGCTATGGAGGGAAAAGACGAACCCTTGGAGTTTAAAAGAGTTCTGGACAACATCAAAGTAAGACTTAGCATTATATCTGGGGTTAGAGTGTTTTCGAGGGCATTTCTTTAGAACGGAGGTACCCTTTGGAATATCACACACAGTTAATGCTCAGTCATATCTACCCAACCACTGGGTCAATATTTTTCTTTTTTGTGTTACTCTGCATAATTTTCCCAAATACTAAAGGAAAAATATTTTCTCAATTTCAAAGTCTAGTTATTGGTAGTAACCAAATGCCAGGAGAAGAGGGCTTTGGTTTCTCTTTGTCCAGTAAAGTGTAATAGATGCCAGTGTTATAAGTCATGAGTATTGAGAAGCAGACACATTTCACATACTTCAACTGGGGGTATAATTTAGAACAACCATTTTGGGAAGCTAGTTTGACAATACTGATCTGAATTTAAATGTGGGTACCTTTTGACCCAGTGGTTCTACAGAAAAGATCTGCCCTACAGAAAAGATCTAAATGTGCCGAGTGTGTTTCCAGCATTGTTTATAGTATAGGCAAGCCATCAACGGAGGATAGCTCAGATACATAATGGTCTGCCTGTACATTAGGATGACATGCAGCCATTAAAACTGGGGAAAATTCCATGAGCTAGGGAATGGAGAAGATTTTTCACTCTTGAAATGTTTAGGGTTTTTTAAAACAACAATCTGGGGTTGGGTAAAGGTTGGGGAGTAATGGAACAAAACTCACTGAACAACCCAGAAGCCTTGGTATAATAAGATGGAGTATTAGTTTTCCCTGTTTTCGCCTTCACGTTAAAGGTAAAGTCTAAAATTTATTTTGAAGGGAAAAAACATCACAGGTTGCTAAAAGCTAACTCTGACTAAGGTCGTTTTGTCTCTTATAAATTCTCTCATTTAATACTGCTTTCTTCTTCACCACCCCCACACATCACACTGTTCCCTGTTTTTAATACTTGAGGCAGTCTTCCCGTGTCAGAGCGAACCTGCTCTCAGTAAAAACGAACTGATCCTGACCACTGAGTCGATCATGAAGAAGAACGAGTTCCTTTGCTGCCAGGACAGCTTCCTGCAGGTATGCTCCAGGGTGGTAGTCTTACCCGGCTTGGCTGTCTCAAAAAAATAGTTTGCCAAGTGCCGGCAGGTGAATTTTATAAGCTGAGGGGTTTTATGTAAGTGTTTCTTTGTTAAAAAATTCAATAATGGCCTAGGCAAAATCTTACAAGCCAATACGAAGAATTTATCTCGTGTCTTTCTTAGTTTATTATCTTTTACACAAGTGTTTCCCTGTTAGAAGAAAAATGCTTTAGCTAGAGAACTAAATTTTTAAAAATCCTATCCATATGAACACCCTTCTTATCCTGTGGAGTAGCTCTCTCCTCAGTCATTCTGAATCCTACTAATTTTTATTAGTAGTGGTATTTTAATACCATTTATTTTAAATTGTTCCTTCTCTTAACCATAGTATGGATCAGAAATCCATGGATTCAGCCTTCCTTTTTTTTCCAGGGAGCTGTTATGTTACATTGATATCTTAAGGTTTTTTAGCTAGTTTGTTTTTGTTTTACTCATTTCACTGACCTGCTCAAGCGGCTCCTGTTTAGAGTTATGGTTGTGATCAAAAGCAAAAGGATGCGGAAATCAGTAAATGGTTTTTTTGTGTGTGTGCTGATTGGTAATTCAAATGCAGCACAAAATCAGCAAGAATGTATCTTTCAGTATATCAAAAATAAAAATCACAAAGTGAAACTTTAAAAACAATTAAGGAAGCCCTTTCCTCCTTTCTTTTTTATATTGAGGTATGAACGGTGAAAAAGAGACTCTTCTAGACTTTAATATGTTTAAAGTCAAGATTAAAACAATAGCTTTAATATGGGTAAAATCAAGAGTGTGACTAGATTGAGTGCCTTTGTTTTTATTCCACAGATTTTTTTTTAACAAATTAGGATTGTAATTTGGTTTTTCTACATAATTATATTTACTTATTTGTTTCTCTGTTTATCCTTGAAGACCTTAACTGAGACAGGCTATGAGAAATATAATGAGGTAACGCACTTAGCATGCTGTGACTGCTGAGCATAAAGGAGTGAGTTCTAGCAATGCTCCAGCTATTTGCCAGCACTGGAGACAACAAATTTCCATCCCAGTGCTGGCAAACACAACTTCTCTATTCATCATTTTGGACTGGTTCCTTTCTTGCCTTTGACAAGGTTTAACGGGTGACCCACTGACCAGCAGTATTTATTCAGCAAGCACTTGTTCAGCCATCATTATGTCACATGCCATGTCGATCCCAGGAACACAAAGATGGCCAAACATGTCCTTGCCCTCCAGTGGCTCACAGTTTGCCAAGAAGGTTCAAAATCCACTGGCCAGATAGATTTGTCTGAGCCCCTGAAATGTTCTCTGGCCCTATCCTACGCCAGAGCTGAGGCAGCAGAGGCAGCTCCTGAGTGGCATTGAGCACTGGCCCTGCCAGAGTCCGGTGCCCATGCTCACAGACATACTATAGCATGAGTGTGAGACTTCGCTGGTTAATCGTGTGACTAATTGCCTGCCAGTTGCCATGTTTTGAGTTCCCTGTAGTATGCATGGGTTGATTTAGCTGAAGACTTACTAGCTTATTTCAGTTTTTATTTTTTCAAAATGAGCTTTTTTTTTTAACCTCTAGAATATCTAACTTTTGTGTAAAGAAAGTCATTCATTTCAGCAAAGCCACTGGAATCTAGTCCCTATGGGTGGCAGCTGAAAGATTGCATTTCCAGTTCTTAAGGTGGGCGGGGGTGATGGTTTTAGGTTTGTGCTCTCTATTCCTATGTGTGCAAAGTTCCTCAGAGATGAAAATCACCCGGGTCTGCTCGTCCTCGTTCTGGGTTCCCTGCATCAACAGGTGGGGCAGCCTTTAACACCTGGTGATCAAATGGCAACGTCTGAGCCAAAAGAGCTTTCAGGAGCTTGCCATAAAGGACATAACAACAGCTAGACAACTAGGCTGGGGGAGGAAGCTACCAATGCGAAAGAAGCTCTTTACACTGAATGATACAGAAGAAAAGTTAAATGGCAGCAGGTATTAATGCCTCTGCATATTCCTACTGTTAAACAGAGTCATGCCAGGAGAGATCGCTCCACTGCCCTCTACAGTTCTAGTTTCCTCCTCTGGTTCGCAATAACTGGCTATATCTGAAAATGCAGTCTCAAACTCGTAATTAGTAAGTAAGCCTGGAGAGTTTCTCTTTAAAAAAAGCCTCTCGAGAATTTTCAAGTTTTTGCAAATTAATAAAAGCCCTATCTGTATAGAATGATGGCTGAGTGGCACAGTAACCCTGTGTGTATCTCCACGCTTTTTCAGTGAGAAGAAGGGCAGTCATGAGAAAGCTGTGTTCATGAACAAGAGATAGCCAAGGTATGGTAGACCCGCCCCCCAGGTAGCTCCTTGGTCACCTGGACTCCTAAGAGACAGACTGAAACTCTTAATGGGCAGAAAATACATTGCAGAAACCCCTGCCCCAAGAGCAGACTACTTTCTACCCGAGAGTAGGAAGATCTGACATCGTGAAGAAGCTTGTCACCTTAGCCACACCCCTGACCTCCTCCAGCCCCTCGGTGCCTTCTACTCTAGAGTGATGGGGCTGATGCCATGCCACCTCATGGGAAGGTCTCACTGAATCAGGCAGCAGCAGACTGGGAAGGGTCCATGAGCCATGGACTGTTTTACTTTCAAAAAAGGTAGTACTAGAAATTACTAGATAGTCTGTGGAAGGCTAAAGAAATTTACTTTTGCAGGGTTAGGAGAGAACTGGGTCAGTAAGTGTTAAGCTTTCTACAGGTGCCTTATAGAGTTTAGTTTTTGCAAAAGTAGGTTTCTGATTTAGTCTGCTTTTTAAAACACTGGTTTCAGACAAAACTTGAGGCTTTTTCAGCTATGTGATACTGACTACATATGGGACAGGGCATGCTGCTCTTCTCCTTAGGAGCCCCTCAGCGAACCTTAGGATGGAGAAACAAGGCCTCGTGAGGCACTATATGGTCCACCATATACTCAGGCCAGCTCACCATTCTGTCCATGTGTGTGGATCTGTCCTCAGCCAGCTACATAGAGCAGCCGGATGCCTACAGTTGGCCAGAGTGCCATTCATGCTCACTGTCACCATGATCTATCTAAAACCATTGAGGGAAATCATAATTCCCAGAAAGCTGCTTGAGGGGAAGTGTACTCTGTTCACTCTCCCCATATTCTCGCCTGGATAAAATCAGCAGCTGGGCCAGCATTGCCTCTGCTGTGACCTCTGAAGGACTGCTGCTACCACATGGTGTGCACCATCAGCTCACCTGAGAAGTACTCAGAGTTAGTACCACAGGGCTGATGTGTGGCCCCATGGGAGGAAGATTTTGGTACACGTAGCTCATCAAAGCACACCACACCATCTCCCCTCTGTAAGCACTCCCCAAAAAGGAGGTGCTGGCCAATCCTGGTTCTAGGAATGACTACAGGGCTGAGTTTATTTCACAGACACACAATCAGTTATAAAACAGATGGGTTTTCCTTTTTGAATGATTGCTAGTAAACTTCAAGTCAGGTGTGTAGCCTCTAGCTCTACCCTATGGACCCAGCACATGATGCACTTTTCACTTTCCTTGCTCCATTTTGTTGCTGTCCCGAGGCTTAGACTACTGTTCTTAAGTTCAGCAAGAAGAGCAAATATACCGATGTTTCATGTCTAGCTTTGAGAGTGGTTTCCAGGAATCCTTCCAAAGTTCTAATTGTGTATGGGAAGAGAGTATGAGACTGGGGGTGTAAAGCAGAGATGAGAGACGGAGGAAGAGAAGCTGGGTTTAGGAGCGTTTCCTTTGAAATAAAGAAAGCTCAGAACATGTGTTCGAAATGTATATATGTCTATGAATTTATGCTTTAGCTTGTATTTAAATTGATATAATGACTTCAGAAGAAATTCTCAAAAATTGATCAGTCTAGAGATTAAAAGTATAAATGGCACACTTCTACCTGCTCTGAGCTGTGTGAATGTGGACAGCATGGAGAGCAGAAGAGAAAGTAGCAGATATAAAGGCTTATCCTGGTGTGACTCTCATGTGCCATGGACGGGCGGCATAGTGGGACTGGGAGAGTGGCTGGTACGTGCCATTGCTGAGTCATCATTGGAGTAAAAAGGCCTTAGAAATACCTAAAACAATAAGTTATGTGGCCAGGGTGTGGATGGTGTGGTGTATTCCTTGGAAAAACATTTTGTTTCAGAACCTATATCCATATTATGTCTCTAATAGTATATATTCAGCTGTCACTAAAATATGGACTCCTGTTACTAAAGTTTATAAAATGCATTGTGGCATCTGAATTACTAGGAAATATACAACTGATGTTTGCTGTGTAATCTTTCAGGAAATAAAAAAATTCATCAAGGGGGTCTCTGAGAAGATCAAGAAAACCAGAGATAAATATGGCATCAACGATAACGGCACGACAGAGGTAACGGCCTTTCCCAACAGGTTAGGAAGGACACTAAGGAATTATCAGGTGTTTCCAGCCCTAACCTGCACTTGGTTTTATTCTTCCAGCCCCGTGTGCTCTACCAGTTGGACCGGATCACCCCCACCCAAATAGAAAAGTTTCTGGAAACCTGTAGGGACAAGTACATGAGGTAGGGATGCTAATTGTCTTGGACTGCTGTGCAGTCACATGGGTCTCTCATATGCTTCCTGTTTCCCCATGGAAACAAAATCCTGCACCAGCACCACTTATTGACTCCCAGTGGTTGAACAGGTTCTGTCACCTCTTATCTAGGGATTCCAATGGGTAGATTGACGAGATGTGCCAAGATGTGGAAATAATTGCAAAGAAATTTCTGAGTGTCTCTTCCCACAGAGAAACTGCCAGTATATTTGGCAGGAGCTAGCTACTCTGTCTGCCTTCAGTACCATTTTTGCAGAGCTCTCAGATCTTCTCCATGCAATAGACGTTTGGGCCCAGTCATTGCACACTGACCACAAGTAGCCACAGTATTCACTTTCATTACTCTACCCCTCTGAGCATCACGTCCCCCTGGCTGCACGCACCTATTACTGATCTGTGCCAGGTTCTTCCTCTGTCACTAGTGCACCCCAGCTCAGTGCCAATTCCTTCCTGACCCTAATGGCAACTGCATTTTTCCTGTCAAAAAGAAATACCAGAAGCAGGGGCTCTGGTATTCCTGTCAAAAAGAAATATCAGAAGCAGGGGCTCCCCAGCAGTTTTGCCATATTTTTCATCCATATCTTTTTCTTCTAGGGCACAGATGGAGCCAGGTTCTGCAGTAGGCGCACTCTGTGCCCAGAGCATTGGTGAACCAGGCACCCAGATGACCCTGAAGACGTTCCACTTTGCAGGTGTAGCCTCCATGAACATCACCCTGGGTGTGCCCCGGATCAAAGAGATCATCAATGCTTCCAAGGCCATCAGGTGCCCTACTTCCATTTTTCTTCTGTTCCCATATTGTCTGTCATGTTTCTTGAGAAACAATGATTCTCTTAGTCACATGTGATACTCAAGTGGGCAATATCTCAAACTTTAGTGGCATGCTTGTGTTAATCATATTTCAGTTTTTAAAAACCCCCCTTGAGAAAAAATAAGTTGAAACTGTATACAGTCAAAATTGAAAAAGTAGTTCTTTGTGGCCACAGGTCACATGAAAGAGAGAAACATAAAAAACAACTGGAAAAATTATAGCAGTGTGTCACTGAAGATTTCAAACTTTCAGTGTCACGTTTCCAGTCTAACTAGGCCTAAATAATGTGTCTACCACTTGGGTTGTGGCCATATTCTGTGATTGCCGCATGATTTCATGATAAGATCTATAGGTGATCTGAAACTAGAAAAGATAAAAATACATTACAGTGCATTTGATGGCAAAATAAGGATTCACCTATGATCTGAATCTAACAAAATAACAAATAACATGAAGCGAAAGCTGCAGTTGGTTCTAGGACAGCAGCTGTGGACATCAGGGTGGCAGGAGCTCTGCCTACCTCCTCTGTATTGGTCAGATCTCTTCCAGGAATGTGTGTTCTGGGGACACCATCCAGGACAATGAGGATGGAAGCTGATGGCTAGTGGTTGGTGGAGCTAGGGATATCCTGGAAAGGAGCTGATAGGGCCGAGGGAGAGGGATGGAACAAGCTGTAACATACGAAGGGCCAATTTACTCAGGGAACAGAACTAAAATAGCTGCTTATTAGGACCAAAGAAGAAGACGTAGGTTCACTTGGTTAGGAAGAACTTTCTAAAAGTCATTTCATTCACTGGTAGAGTGGGTTATCTCATGAGCTCCTAAAATAGTAAATCCTAATGAGAATGTTGATAGGAGCATGCCCAACACACAGTGAATACTCAATAAATTGCAATTGCTTTTAACATCACAATTCTAAATAGTACTTGGATTTAACAAAGCAGTAGTCTTCAAACAGGCTTACCCTTTGCTGCATCTGTTTTTCCTTTCCTTCTCATAGCACTCCGATCATCACGGCACAGCTAGACAAGGATGATGATGCAGATTATGCTCGCCTTGTGAAAGGGAGAATTGAGAAAACCCTCTTGGGAGAGGTAAGGAGAAATCTTTCTTAATAACAAGAAAACTACATCAGCAGCATTGCAAGGAAGTCTAAAAACCAGATGGCAGTAGATATACCAGTCAGTGTGTCCATACTACTCTATGTCCTTAAAAAAAAAAAAAACAGCAAGCATTGAATGCTCTTAGGAAAGGGGAAGGTGACTGATTAACGTTCTAATCTTCTGACACTACAGATTTCAGAGTATATTGAAGAAGTGTTTCTTCCTGATGATTGCTTTATTCTCGTCAAGCTCTCCCTGGAACGGATTAGACTTCTGAGACTGGAAGTGAGTCACGTAATTAAATGTGTAGAGGAAGTCATCCTCTGTTAGTCCCAAGATAGGCACTGATAAACTAGAGCAGGAGCAAAGCAAGACCCAAGAAGCATTGCAGATGCTTTCTTTTGGTTGCCGTTCTGTGTGAGTCTGCTGTCCCTTCACATTCTTTCTTACTAAACCTGACTGACACAGACACACACAGGAAATTAGTTGAAATTTTGTGTAGGCCACAACACCCATTCACTGTGACAAAGTATTACAATAATTGGTGTCCTTTCCATCTTCCCAGTGTCTAGAAGGACCATAGGGCTGGCCGTGTCTTACATATCTGTGGCCCCCAGCACCCAGCACAGCACCTGTCTAGCTCAGTAAATGTTTTTGGATAGATGGGTTAACATGGCTTATTATATTGGCATTTACATAATAGGTAACAGTTTAAAGATTATCAGCATTTCTCAAGGATAGACTGAGGCGGGGATGCAAACAGAGTAACATACTGGTACCTTCCTCTTTCTCTCAGGTTCTTAAAATCAATACTAATCGTAAAGCCTTTTCTCTCAAGAAAAGTTCACCAAGTTCACATGTTATCCATATGACAGATGACCCAAATTGAGCAGCCAGTCCTCCAGGTTGGGGAATTCTCTAACCTGGCTCTGGCCGCCTGCTTTGTGGCTCTTTTACCAGAAGAACTGGGTAGCATTGAGGAGTGTAGCACACAAGCAGTTATGGTGAGGTCAGTAAAGGGCAGGCTCCACTGATGCTTTTAGATTGTCCTGGCCTCGAACCTCCCGCCTCCCGGACCTCCCCTGGAGCCTGTGTTTGTTGCCATGAATTGAGCATGCATTTTTAATGAGGGAGTATAAAAAGGCTTTTTATACTCTATATGAATAAAGGACAAATTTGTATACAGTTACATAAACAAAAACATCTCTGGTATTAAAATTTCATGGTAGAGAAAGAGATTAAGGAAAAAATGACTAAAAAGGCTTCTTAGAGGGGCAGTGATGAAAAAAGTCTGAGAAACACTGGAATCATAGGCTCCGTACCCATCAGTAACATCCTGGAAATTCCTCCCCTCGCCCCTCCATCCCCGGCCACCTTGCAGGTGAACGGTGCGGTATTCCATCTGTACGTCCAAGCTCCGCGTGAAGCCGGGTGACGTGGCTGTTCATGGTGAGGCTGTGGTATGTGTCACCCCCAGAGAGAACAGCAAGAGCTCCATGTACTACGTGCTGCAGTTCCTGAAAGAGGATCTCCCCAAGGTGAGACAAAAGTGGCCCCTTCACGGCCCTGCCCAGCCTAATGCCTGGGGATTTGTAAAGGAAGAGACCACATTTACCTCTAACGTGAATGTCCAGGCATCAGAGAACCCTAAGGACTCTGTCACTACTGAGACTGGCACCCCATTTCTTTATTTCTTCTTTGCCACATCCCTAAGGAATCAATTAGCACTCAGCACTGCCATGTTAGCTCTCCCTGTTAGACTCCTCTCTGTTCTCTTATCTAAAACTAATCACAGAATGAGGCAATCCCCTGAACTTCTGCTTTCTCCCTAATCCCCAAAGCAGGACACAGGCACTTTTAGGTTTGGTATGGAACTGATAATCACCACTGAGAAGTGGGGATGATCCAGGCAATAAACTCAGGGCGTGACATTCCAAGTTTTCAAGCCCCTGTGGTTTCTGAGGCTACCAGGTTGATGGGGGCTGCGGACACTACAGGGTCTCAAGCCTTCTGTCTCTCTGAGTCCAGGTGGTGGTGCAGGGCATCCCAGAGGTGTCCAGGGCTGTCATCCACATCGACGAGCAGAGCGGAAAGAAGTACAAGCTCCTGGTGGAGGGTGATAACCTGAGGGCAGTCATGGCCACCCATGGCGTGAAGGGCACCCGAACCACCTCCAATAACACATATGAGGTACTGCTAACACCCAGGGTCATGTTACAATTGTCCTCTCTCCTTTAGTGCCCCCTCCAGACCCTCGGCTGGTTCCCGGCGCACTTCTCGGACCCTGCTGTTTGCTCTGGATCCACCACTAAAGATTCAATTTTAGAAAAGGGGGTGGGGCTTACTGTGAACCTATAGGGCAAAGGAGGACATAGAGAAGTAGTGTAGCACCCCGAAAGTGGCTGCTTCTACTCATCCTGGCTCTCTGTAGGTGGAGAAAACACTGGGCATCGAAGCTGCCCGGACGACTATCATCAATGAAATCCAGTACACGATGGTCAACCACGGCATGAGCATCGACAGGAGGCATGTGATGCTGCTCTCTGACTTGATGACGTACAAGGTTCGTGGGAGGAACCCAGTCTCAGGAGAATGAAGCTGTGAAGCTTCTAAATTTGTGGAATACACAGCTGTTTGTGATGACCACCAGTGAGGGAAAATAAAATGTCACCATCAAAACCCAAAAACCAAAGCATGGTGGCTAAACTAGGTGTTCTGCTAAAATTCCGGTATGAAAATTGCAACACCCTGGCATAAGGTGGAACATGGTTTTTGTCCTTATTAGAAATTTTATCCTAAAGCAAAGCTAGCCGTTGCCAAAAGGAGTCTTCCCTGAGTCCTACACTGACTGCCCAGGGATTTCCTGGCAAACCGAGGTGTTCATTTGCTGTTAAACCCATTCATCATACTTCCGTAGCCATTTCCAGGTAAAGAATAAGTTAATATCTGGCAGGGAGGGGGTTGGTTGGTTGATTATATATTTTTTCTTTTCCCCAAAAATGCCTTCCCTCTAGCAGTTCCATAGGACAACAGGTTTTCTTGACCCACCTTGCTCAAACCTGTACTGTATTGTAGACCATTCAGAAACTAGGTGGGAAAATGACCCATTCCTACCACCTACAATAAAAGCTGTCATTTTTACGTGTTCCCTTCCAGTCTTACTCTATATGTATATATTGTTACTGTAGATGCAGTAAATAGTAGGCATGCTGTTTTTATCCTAACTTTTTATTTGATGTATTTTCCACATTGTTACATAGTTTTTATGAGTGGACTTTTTATGATGGCAGAATGTTCCTATTCCTGCTTTGAGGTTTTTAAATTATTTGAGTTGTGAGGTCTTTGAGCCTTAATAAACATATTCAGAAGTACTTGCTTTTTTTAAAAGTTAGATTCTTAATTCTAGTTCTCAGTTCTTAATTCTTTGTTCTAACAGCCCTTGGTGTGGGTGTAAGGATCTATGTTGTCAGTGACTATGGCTTCAGCGGGACACAGGTGGGACGGATAGCTGTTAGGACCCTGTTGAAACAACTGCTTGGCTGATTTTTGCTTATTCTGTTGAGTGGATACTGTTTTGGTTTTGAGCTTTCATAGGTGGTGTGGGTGCCACTCTGACACATTCTCCCTTGACATAGGGTGAAGTCCTAGGCATTACTAGGTTTGGCCTGGCCAAGATGAAGGAAAGTGTGCTGATGCTGGCCTCCTTTGAGAAGACGGCTGACCACCTCTTTGACGCTGCCTACTTTGGGCAGAAGGACTCCGTGTGTGGTAGGTTTGGTGTTTGTAGGAGCATCACCAGAGGCCTTGGTTATTTGTAGCTTCGAACCTGGCTAGAGCTTCTTGGGAGGTTAGCAAACTGAGTAGGTAGAGCTTTTATTTTTTTAGAATAAAGTCACAGATCATGGAGTTGGAGCCACTCAGTCTTTTATCTCCAAAGCCTGGCTGAAGCATCCTGCATCCTCCCACATCTGTTCGAAGGCTTGTCTTTCGGTACAGACAATTTTTGGTCCAAGAAGAAAAGATTGACCCTGGGCATCTGGGAACTTTTCCAGCCCATGGAGTTGTAGTGAGCCATACCAGTCCTGCACCCTCGGCGGTGTTAAGGCTGACAGAGGGACAATGCCAGGCGTCCCTGCTGTCCTGACTCCCTGGGAAAGGCAGCCAGCATGCCTTTTACGTTTGTCGAGCCCCTGTGCTGGTACCTTATATGCCAGTATCTCAGCACCTCTGTGAAGTGTAGTTATTAAACCCTTTCACAAGTGGGAAGACCGAGGAAACTGACTTTGCTGCCATCAAGTCCAACTACAGAGTTTTGCCCTAGTTTGGCCTTATACCCCGTTCACACAGTGCATCTCTGACAGGCTTAGGGGAGAGGGAATGTAAGCAGGAACTGTCACAACAGTGCCTGCTGCCCACCCGGCTCTTCCCTGAGTCCTGCACTGACAGCCCACTTCACTCTATCCTTTCTTATGCCAAGACCCTGCAGGTCCAAGGTGATAGCATGAAAGGGGTTGGGGCACAGGACACTCAGCCTGCCAAAGGCACACTCATCAGCCCAAGCAGGAGTTCCAAGCCTGGCCTTCGTTCTCACTGCCAGAGCTCTGCTTGCTAGTGACCATTTCCTGTCTCACCTCTTCCTCTTGTGTGGGTTTGCCAAACAGGGCCCCAGTCAGTATATGCCTATTTTTTGCTCCTAAGATTAACTCCTTCTCTTTTCAAAAAAGGCACAGGTTGTACATGAAAGGAAAGAGAAATTACATAATTCTTTAAGATAATAAAGGGTGAAAGGAAATAAAAGGGAGCAGAGATTGGGGCAGGAGAAAGCCAAGGCCAAGGTAACAGTAAGAGCAAGTCTGCACCCCAACCCTGCCACCAGGAATTAGGGCCCTGCTGCCCTCCTGTGGCCCTGCCCACTGCCACCTCTCTCCATGTCATGGATGAGGAGTAGGGTAACGAGCCCAAGTTCAACCACTTGATGTGTCGTGGAGCTGGGACTCAGATCTCACTTTCTGACTCCTAAGTCAGTCGTCTTTCTGTCGTGACAACCCACCTGTGTATTGAGAAGCTCTCTAATCTTTTTTCTGGTTGGTTTCAGGGGTATCCGAATGCATCATCATGGGGATCCCCATGAACATTGGAACTGGGCTCTTCAAGCTGCTCCACAAGGCGGACAGGGACCCGAGCCCTCCCAGGAGGCCCCTGATCTTCGACACAAATGAATTCCACATCCCCCTTGTCACATAGGCCAGGGAAAAGGGGACTATTCCTGACTTCAGCTCCTTGTCTTATCTGGAAAGGGGCTCGAGACCAACAGCTGCCTTGGCTTTGTACTCCCTGGGACAGGGGCCTTGATGTCCCCACCATGCCAGCAGTCAGAGAATACCCCCTAGACCCTCGGTAGCAGCTTGCCTGGTGACCCTGACCATACCACAGTGCTTGGTCAGGACAAAAAGTATGGTTTGTCATTTGTTTGAAACCTAATCTATGGACAGCTCCATACCTCCTGCCCAGCCCACCTCCCTGGACTCGGGAGGAGACCCCAACCAGACATCTTCACTCATTCCTGCCTCACCTGTCTATCCATCAGCTCCCAGGGGTGTCTCATACCTGCCCAGGACCCAGGTCTGAGCCCCAGGGTCAGGGCATGGTCCCAGTTTTTTCATTCCTCAGTCATGGTAGAATTTCTCAATGTGACATACTTGTGTAAATATTGTTACTATTATTTATTTGTTCAGTTTGAAAACTGGAGTTTTTGTTACTTGGTTTTACTTTTGAAACCTAGAAGCTATAGAAACCAAGAAAGCCAGCATTGAAACATCACTGGAAAAACTGGTTAAGCAAATGGAACTGTCTCAGATTTGTAATTGAGCTGAGACTGTGAGGCCCAAGCTGCTCTGAAATGCCTTTCACAGACTCCATGATCACCCTGTTTTCGTCTACCTCCAACCCCCACGCTAGTGACACTACCTTGTCACTCCGTCTTGTGACAAGAGTCAAACCCATTCTTCGTGGTCTTGCTGGCATTTGGGGCCTGCTAAGGTGGAGACCATCATTGTACACAGATGATGAGTGAGGCTGGTCCAGGCTGCCTGCATTGCCTTGGTGGCATCAACACCCCTCCTGAGGTATCTGCCTGTGTGTGCACAGGGCAGTTGTGGAACTGGTAGCCTAAAAAGTGCCCCAGGGACAGTAGCAAAAGAGGGCTCTCCCTGGTACCGGCAGGTGCCAGCCATAAAGGGTGAAAGGGCCACCCATACAGGAAGGGAGGAGGCCCACAAAGGGTGTGGGGGGTGCTAGCTGGAGCTGGAGACCTGCCCCAGTTGGCAACAGCAGGCTCCTTGAAGTGTAAATCTAATATGACAATGGAAAGCACATGTCAGGCTGTGAGGAGAGAACCAGCAGGGTATCCCAGAAAGCCCTGTATTTAATCCTCTGCTCAGGCTTCTGCCAGTGACTGCACCATCATTGTTACAGTTTTTCAAGGCTTCTGAGGGGGTTTTGTACAACATAGGAAAGAAATGTACGTAACTTGTCTTCTGGAGAGCAGAAAGAGTTTTTGCTCCCGGAGACACTTTTCTTTGCACAGAATTTGCTGCGTAGGATTGGCCCAGGACCATGAGAAGAAATGACTGCAGCTCCCCTCCCTCTGGAGATCTGTGGGGTCTGTCCTTCCTTTCCGTGCACAGAACAGAGTCCCAGTGTTGACTCTTCTTCCCCAGTGGGGCCTTGGAAAACCAAGGCTGCATAGTTGGGAATTAGGTGAAAGTGAAAGATGGGGCTTTCACCCTAATTTTTGCTTTCTTGCACTTGAAGTCTTCTGAAACAGCACAGCCAATTTATCTCATTGTATAAAGTCACAGGAAGAACTAACAACCCAAACCGAAGACATGGGAATTTATTGTCGAGCAAGAGGATGGTTTGGGTGATTAGAGAGGTGAATATGGTAAAAAGAAAAAGTAAGGGAGGCTTAAAGAATTCCAGTGGTATTTTATGGACTTTAGCTTACATTCTTTGGACATTCCCTAGTACAGGGATCCCCAACTCCCAGGCCGCAGACCAGTACCGGTCCATGGCCTGTTAGGTACCAGGCTGCCCAGTAGGAGGTGAGTGGCGGGCAAGCAAGCGAGGTTTCACCTGTATTTGCAGCTCCCAGTAGGAGGTGAGTGGCAGGCAAGCAAGCGAGGTTTCACCTGTATTTGCAGCTGCTCCCCAGCACTAGCATCACCACGTATGGTTCCACCTCAGGTCATTAGGCATTAGATCTTCATAGGAGCTCTGCTCTCAGGTGCCAAAAATTGGGGACCGCTGCCATAGTTGATTTCCTCCATTCTGAATCAGTCCTGCTAAGGTACTAGTATAACCATTGGTCCTTGGGTCTGTGTTAAAATGAGTGCTTTCCCTCCCTTACTGATGTGATTCTGAATTAGGAATTCTTGACCTGAGTTATTTTTGGCCAAGGCTGAGATTTAAAATTCTAGGGAAATTTGTAGTTTGTCCCTGTGGTCCCCCTGCACCCAGGAGGTTGGCCTACGAACTTCTGTGAAAGATATTCCATTTTTCATCATGTCCAGCCCTGTATCTTAAAATGAGCTAGCCTGGTTGAGACTAAGGAGTAAGTCTATTAACACACTTATTCAGTGTTGCCAGCTGAGACCTCACCACAGGAACTGCTGCGCTCTCAACCTGCAAAGAGCCACAGAGTAGCAAAGCTGCCTTCCTGCAAACTTGCCTGGGAAGGACGCCTCAGGCCCCGGATTGGTACCAGGACTACTGGGATACATAGGGAACCAAGGAGGGTGGGCTTGGATAGCAGGAGGGAACACCAGCACCCACATCCCTCTGTGTGACACATACTTGAAATAAGGTGGGGAGAGTGGCAGTGCTGCCATGAGTAATAAAGACACATTGCCAGGAGCCCCATCCTACCTGAGAGGGTACTTGCTAGGTGATAGAGTCCATGTGAAATGTGTGTGACAATAATGGGTACAGGCAAGGGGTTGGGTTTAGATCAGCATGTGGTACTTTGGGAACAGAAGGGTTATGTGAGTGAGCACACCACCCAATGAGAAGCGATGTGTCCTGTAGGCACTGGTCCTCAAGTACTGCCAGCCCTGCTGGGACCACTGGCATAGGCAGCAATGGCTGGCAAGCCCTATTTTGTGTACCCCACTGTGTGTTTCATGGGTGGGTGTTAAAACTCTCCCTGATGTGATACCTGCTCTGTCCTGGCATTAGGTTTTATAGCAAGCACAGAGCTTGAAGACCAGATAGCAATGTATTCTCAAAAGTGAGCTCAAAAGGTTACGATTTTACTATGCGCCTGTTTGGAAGAAATAAAAACATTTAAATTCTGTCTCAACCATGAACAGATACATATTTCTGACTAGTAGAATCTGTCTAGTCCTTTGCCCTTTTTCTATCTTTTGTACAAGGGGATTAAAATAGCTATTGACTCAGTTTATAGCCCCCTGCTTTGCTCAGCACTTTAGGAGAGACATTCTGGAGTCTTTCAGTGTCTGTGTCAGAGTTAAATTATGGTGTGTTTCTATTTCAGGGTTTATCCATGTGTGTTCACATTGATTCATGTCTGATTGAACCTGACACTGTATAATGATTATTTTTCTTAAATGTTTGCTGTCTCCTGGCAGAACTTTCTATTTTTCTACCAAAACTCAAAAGAGAAAAAAAAATCACTATACATAAAGCTGTAGCAGTTCATCCCTGTGGATTGTGAAACAGGGTCATTGAGATACATGTGGGCTCTAACTACTAAAATAATGAATGTCCCCTGCAGCAGGCCCACCTCTCGGGGTATTAGAGTTCATCAGTGAGCATCCAGCCCCACCCCTGGATTGTAACTAATTCAAATCCAGTAGGAGGCAAAGCAGTGTTTCCTGAGCTGTGTACTGGAAGTGCCTGCCACCTGGCCAAGATCAGATGCCAAGCTTCTTTGTTCTTTAATTCATTCAGCAAGTAAGGGCCTGCTATGTCCAAAGCGCTATGTCTAACACAGTCTAGAGCCAGAACATCAGCCCTCAGCAGGGCAAAGAGAGAGGTCCCTCTAAGCCAGAGCAGCCCCCCTGGTTCCAACTTCTCCCTTCAGGGATCTACAAGCCCCTCATTTGGCCTTTTTCCCTTGGGCTTGGATTCTAGAGGCAGTGCCCTGTTCAGAGGACATAAGCCTGCAATCACTGGAAAAGGATGCTATCATCCTCTCCCCAACCCAAACATAACTTGCAGTGTTAATGAGTGGACATTTAAGTCCACGAATATTTGTTAAGCTTCTGCTCTGTGCCTGGCAATGTGCCAGGCCCTTGGGGAAGGTTCCTGCTTGCATGGGGCTCACCTTCTGGTTGGAGTCATTTTGTGGTTAAAAGCCTGGATTCTATGATCAGATGATTGGAATTCAACCCTTTCTATATGGTGACTCGAATTAATGACAACCTCTCTGCCTCACTCATAAGATAGGAATGAAATTTAGTGGTACCTAACTCATAGGGTCATTGCGAGGTTTCAATGTGACAATGTATATAAGGTCTTAGTACAGTGCCTGGAACAGAGTACACACTCGTTAAGTATGTTTGCATTTAAGGTGACTATCCCTATTTTACTGAAAAACATGGTCTGTGGATTCGCAACTAAAATTCAATCGTCTAACCCTTTTTAATTCACGCAGATGGAGTTTTCCTTTGTGGCCTTGGGGATCAGGCCTCCCTAGACATAACTCCTGCCCCACTGTCTGCTCAGTCAGTAGATCTCAGTGTTTCACACCACAGAGGAAGAAGGCTGGGGGAGGGGACTGACATTTGGCAGTCATGTAGCTGAGGGCTTCAACATTTTAATTTTGGCCATAAAGTAAATGTGATCTCAGTTTAAGAGTTGTGGATAGTAAGAACAAAATAACTCAGATTTTTTATGGAGAGATATGGATATTGATATATAGGTTTATTATGTAACTCTGTCTCATGAGGTAAAACAACATTTTTCTTTCAAAGAGGTTGCCATTCAAGTCGATGGTAAAGAATATATTAAGAAACTAGTAATAATGATTGCCTCTGGGGATAGAAACTAGATGACTGAAGGATACAGGTAGAGATGATGTATTTTTCACTCTGTTCCATTGTGCCTTTCTAATTTTGTTACCTTCTGAAAGTATTGCCAGTTTTGTTTTGTTTTTTTAATCAATATCTGATGATAAAGAATCAAGTCATCTTGGAGCTGACTTTGTTCTCAAAGGTACTTGAGAGCTCTGCTCTGAAAGTAGCTGAGTGGTCCCTTCCAGCTATATAAACATAAAGGAAGCAGGTACCAGATATTCAGGGAAAAGGACATTGTTATCAGGATAAGGTGACAAAAAATCTAAGTTAACAGCTTTAAATATTAAAATTTTCTTTTCAGACATAATCCAGTGAGGGGGCATTCCAGGGCTGGTATGGCAGCTTTACAAAGCTGTCCGGGACTCGGTTCCTCCTCAGCCTCACTTTTCCCCATCCCTAGGGGATGGCCCAGTCCTCATTCTTCATGGTCCAAGGTGGCTGATGGCGCCTCAGGCA